CTTGGATGTTGTCTCTGCCTTTCAGGGTGCGCAGGTCCCACGAGAGGGCCAAGTGGTCCCTCCAGTAGCCGTCGGAGAGGAACAGTTGTGCGAGGTCCCTGTAGTTTCTGGATCTCAACGCGGCGTTGAAGGCGTCGATGACATCTGCCGCGGCTTTCCCCGCATCAACAGATGTCGAGCGGACTGAGGGGGGATATGCGCGGGGCGGCAGGTTCACCGAGCCGGGTTCAATCCGCTCGCTTATTGGAAAGGCTCCTGTCATGGTTTCTGTCTTGTTTTCAAGTCTACGAGAGCACTGATGGATAATAATGAGCTGTGGGCGGTGGGCGATGGGAGAGCAGCATCAAGGATGGGATACACAAAGTAAACCTTGTGAGCTGGCGACTTCCCTTTCCACATAAAGACTATTTGGTTCCTCCGCACCGGAGGCTGTGATGTGACATCACCTGACAGAACCGGTGCAACAACTCATTGTGAGGAGTTCCTCCGGAGATAGATCGGGGGCAGGAGGAGGAGACGGCATGCGCAAGACTTTCTAAGGCTTTCAGACAACGTCTGGAGGCTGTGGTGCCGCCCAACTCTCAACAGTTTTCCGCCAGGCCTGTAGAGTTTGATGGACGATGCAGATCGCCAAGGTCGAGGTCTAGTTTGTCCCTCCCAATTACCGCCAAAATAGCGCGCCACTGGCCCCCTCAATGCGGGGGAGTAACATACAAGCCGGCCCCCCGGTCAAATCACAGAGCTCGAGGTGTCGTGGCCAAGTGCGGGCGCGAAATGCCATGGAGGGTAGCTTGAACTGTAGCTTCACACCGCACCCGCCGGCCATACTGGCTACAGCTTCTCCGCAACCGATGTCGCGGGGTCGGAAGAGCCGGCTTCGCGTAGTGCAGGGTTGTGAGATTGCTGCAAGCTATCGCCTCAGGGTTGGAGGTACAATACCATTTTCGTCCAACAATCATCACATGTAACTGATGGCAGCTGTAGATTCAAGTCCAATGCTATCAGTTCTACCCGTGTGACGGTGTATCCCTACGACGATGCCATCAAACTAGGTACATGTTACCACAAGGGCTCAATGGCCAACTCGGCCCGTCTCAAGCCAGCGCTAGTGGGGGCAAAGTGCGGGGGAAGCGCCGGTACATGCACAAGATCCCGGGGCAAAAGAAGCGAGCCGCCTCCGGTAACCCATTTCCGCGTTGGTTGTCGAATCATGGGCGCCAACTTGGATAGCGCCTCTGTAGTCTGATCTAGTTGGTGGACGGGTCTGACAGATTATCGTTTGGGGGTTCCATCTGACACACTTTCTACTCGTAATAGTGTATTAGCTGTGTGGTTCTCACATCTAGTGGGGTTTCAACAGCCGTATAATAGTACGTAAATTTGACTGTGTCAGCTGAGTCTGTCGCTTCGGATGATGTTGAAACAGCTGGATCTTGCGGCTGTAGACGAGCTACGTGGACCTCAAACTTGCTAAGAAAAAGGATTCGGAGTGTTATTTACGGCTATACCAATAGGTACACAGCTAAGAGACATTTCAAACATGAACAAATCTCCCCTTGGTAGGAAAAAGTCACATACTTATAAAGACCTATCACCAGTACTGCTTTTCTTGTCAGTGTGATACGGCAGTACGCCTCGTCCTTCTAGTATGTGAGGATAGAGTAAGCACACCAGTAATAGAATTTAGGCGTCAGCGCATCTCACAGCAAACTGACTTTAAGCTTACCAAGGTCAGACATAGCGTGATCAAGCAAAATCTACAATTCACTCAAAAGTACTTACGGAATCCACCATACCCCAGGGAATGAGGAGGCCAGGCATAAATCTTATCTGGTAATTGGTAGATCAATATAACACACACCTAGTGTACGGACTACCAGACTTGCGAAGATGAACAAAAATATACCAGTTCTAGACGCAGGTTTAAGTGCCTCGAGTGGTAGCAGCGCGACAGTATCACAGCTATGACTGCGTTCTCTCTCATGGTTTTCAAGCTGTAAATATTGGCGGCTGATGTATTGACGTCTAAGCAAAACGATGTAATGTGCAAGTTTCGTCTACGGATTCAAGTTTCAAAGTCCTCGAGAGTTTTTCAAGCGACCGAGGGAGGACACATCAATCTCAATTGCCACATGCTTGACGTATTTGGACCGGCATACTCCATATGAGTAGAAGAATAGCATAGCTATTAATACACCCGCAGGGAATTTGGGGAGTCAGCCAGCCCCCTCCCATTGAAGGAAGAGATGGGCCGCTATATTCGAGAGAACGGATTGAAAAGCATCATGGATCAGTTGAGCTGTAGGCAAACCGCTCTTCATAAGTTTCTTCAAATGCCCAATTCACAGTAAAAAGTCCCGTTGGACTAAAGAAATGCCAAACGTTGGACGTGGTTACATGGGCTCAAAACACCTCGACGCAAGCAACATTTGTCGTTTATGACAGGTCGAAACGAGGGAATACGAGCCAGGTTACGGATGCCGAAGATTCTACTCACAGACCGTACCCTCGTAGCCGGCGGAAGAGCTCGAGAGCGATTCGGCAGCGGCCTAATAGCCCCGTATGCCGCACCGCCGTGTTCGCCGGAGAGTCAATGGAATCACCAGCTGCAGTCCTGTGGCCTGTTAAGATTTCCGTGTGAAGGATTCCAGGATTCTTATGAGTCTGTTGGAAAGTTCTTCGCCTAGGATGGCTGTGAGAGGCCGTCGTTTATGCTTTATTATATGCACGTAAATATAATCTCATCACAGGAGGCTCATGCCAGTGTATCGGATGATATCAGCCACGACATGTGCAATATCACCTGACCGACTTTGGGACTCGTATCTCCGTGGGCCGTCACTCCTAGAAGCCCATCTCTTACAATCAAGCTCCTCTTCACCTTGACTATGACCCCTATTTGCTGTGTGCCCTAGCTCGTGAGAAATCTTCACTCAATTTAGGAGTCCCACTTTCTGCAAGACGGCAGTTGTGTAAACAGGGGATGAGAACAAATAGGAAAACAGCATCGTCGCTGTCAATGAAGCCGAGACACTTGCGGCTAGCCGGCCGAAAGGTGGCGCACAACTATTTAACCCATGGGATCAGCCGTAAGTAGCTTGGTATTAATAAGTTCGAGCATGATGGGGTCAATATCGCTCTTTTTGGACGCCCCATCAGCACCTCCCATGCTCCTCCACCACTGGCAGAAGCTGTTCCGGGTGGCTCAGATCTGACTAGCAAGCCTGCAGGCGACAAAGGCAAGCAACCTGGACCACGTGGAATGGAATGGCACTCATCTGGATTAGCAAAACTCTTGGTGAGGCCTGTTGCTATATTTCGAGAGAGCACACTTGACATTGACACGTTGTTTTCACCCTGTTTTGCGAAGCATCAAATCGTCTTGGCAAGGAGCTATTTGCCGCTGTGATGACGACGAGACCCGATGCTCGTCTAGGTCATCACTTCGCAGCAGGGTAGAGAGAATAATAGAATATCTGTACGTCGGACCGCGATTCCCCTCAAGGCCTCTCGGCTGCATATGCTGAGCAACGGTGCCTACTGGTCCGTCCCTGGAGCATTCCGAAGACGGTGTCGAAGCGCCGTGGTGCGAGTGGGTATCCCTTTCCCACTGAGTGGACATTCCGTCCCGGGTAAAGTGATCTGCAGCAGGGGCTTCCCGCCTCTCCTCGGTGCCCTCCGGGGCTTACGTTTCAGGTGAATCCCACAACGGGTGCGTCGATCGGAAATACTACGTGAGAACAGAGCTCACGGCGGCAAAGGTTCTCTTCAGGGATCCCCTCGTGGAAAGATGGAAGTTGGACGGGTTGGACGGTTTTGGCTCCGGGGAGATGGGTCTACTATGATTTTGGGTAGATTGATTATTGACTCAGTTTCGGGATCCGTCGAGCTACAGCAAATATACTGCGGATCCGAACACGGAGCGATTCAATACTCATCAAATCATGCGATCAACCACCGACGATTGACCGTGGGCTGCCTGGGATTGACGAGCAAACTTGGAATGACGCCCGAAATTGACAGCAGCAACGGTCAAGCCTTTCACGCGACCTCACACGGGCATGGCATGCAGGAACGGGAGCCCGTTGGCGCCTGTAGGTCGAATGAGGCGAGTTTGATGGATGCTAGGCAATCTATTCTGTACAATAGGCGTTCGTTAGCCCATCTATTCGTAGGCCCCGGTTCCCCCCTGCAGGGTGTGCCGCTGCCAACCAGGTGGGATGTTTAGATGAACAGGACCACGAACACTAAGAATCGGCGCATGAGCTTAGCTTCGCGACTGTTCCGTATCTCATCAAGAATCGGCCCTCGACCAATGGTCCTCCAGGGGTCGATGTCGTCAGCCAACTTTAGCTGTGGCCACTTCGTGGACACTTTGTCTCCAGTCAACCCCATTATAAGGAGGGAACCCTCGGCGGCAAGCTCCGCGTTTGGTGGAGAATGGATTCAGCATGCCTGCATCTTGATGTTTCCCAGAACCTGTTGGCCCATTTCGTCGTCTACGGATACAGATTCTTCTCTGGCTGGTCCTTCTCATCGTGGCGTGCCACCTAACCCCCGTCGGACGAGGCCTGCTCTATCGGCCACGACAACCCTTGCTCACGATCCCATCATCACCCGTGTCCCCCTTTTCGCGCCGGCAACTTGCAAGGCCCAGACCAAAACCGACAATGAGGACGTGGGGCTGAGAAACCTCATCGGGAACGTTGGATGACAACAGATAGCTGGTGGCTCCAGGCATCCAGGGGTGGGATGGCGGTAGTGTATTCGTAGATTAAGATATAAGGCCACCTTCTCCCGCCTCTTGGCATGATTGTCTCTTCCCACCTCGTCCTCAACCATTACCAGTGTCTTTTATCATTGTTAAACCACATTCATTTCTTGTCAGAAAAGTTACATTCATTCATTCCCTGGTGGAAAAACAAACACTTTGTTTTCTTCCCGTCCAATCCTTCTACACACGAAAATACCCGTCTTCACCAACGCTTCAAACCGTCAAGATGCGTTTTGTTGCTTTCCTCGCTGCCGCGGCCATCGTGCCCCAGGCCATGGCTCACTACGTCTTCCCTGCCCTCATCGTCAACGGAGAGGAGACGGAGCGCTACGAGTTTGTCCGCGCGTCCACGAACTCCAACTCCCCCGTCACGGACGTCACCTCGGACGGGTTCGTCTGCAATATCGGCGCCAACGATGCCAGCGTCCTGGCTAAGACCAAGACTAAGGCCGTCAAGGCTGGCGATGAGATCGGTTTCACTGCTGAGAGCGACATCAGCCACCCTGGCCCCCTCGCCGTCTACATGTCCAAGGCCCCCTCCGGCGTCGCGTCCTACAAGGGCGGTAGGTTTATTCTCATCTCTACTGTTGAGTGGATCGTATAGCTAATTTAAGTCTTAAAGATGGCGACTGGTTCAAGGTGTACGAGCTGACCACCTCGGACATCACCTCCGCCGGCCTCCAGTGGGCCTCCGACGGCCTCCGCAACTTCACCTTCACCCTCCCCAAGGAGGTTCCCACTGGCGAGTACCTCGTCCGCGTCGAGCACACCGCCCTCCACGCCGCCGGCTCCAAGGACGGTGCCCAGTTCTACATCTCCTGCGCTCAGATCTCCGTCACCGGCGGCGCCTCCGGCACCCCTACGCCCACCGTCAAGATCCCCGGCGTCTACACCGGCGAGGAGCCCGGCATTTTGATTAACCTGTACTACCCTGTCCCCACGAGCTACACTCCCGCCGGACCCGCCACCTGGCCCAACAAGTGCGTCGACCACACCGGCAACCTCGCCGGCCAGACCTCCGACGGCGACTGCACTGGCGACGCCGGCGCCACCACCCCCGTTGCTCCGGCTCCCTCCAACGGTACTGCTCCCGAGACTCCCTCCAACGGCACTACTCCCGAGGCCTCTGACGAGGGCTGCGAGGCTGCTGCCGCCCGCCGTCAGGCCCGCTCCATGCGCCGCCGCACCACTCGCCTTGCCCTCTAAACGTACCCTATTTTTGTTCCCCCGAAGCCGCGACGATGATGGTGGAAGTGGGCGAGATTCAGGGCCATTTTGTTAAACCCGGGCGAGCAGACTACCACTTGGAGGCCTGCGAGCTTAACTCTATTCTTGGACATATATGACTTGACACACTGGATGTAAATGTTATTCGAAAATGGACGATCCCTCTTGTAGAGGTGTTCTCATTGAAATATCAAATTCTTTCATACCAATACGTCACGATGCCTTCATGGCATTGTGCATCTTGGCGAGATTCCCCCTGTGCCGTGATATCCCACTACTTCGGCCCAATTCAGGCCAAGTAACCTTGTGTGGCACGCAATTCTACGCTCTCCAGCCCAGGCGAACTCTCCCGTATGTACTCAAGTAGTTTCTCCATGTCTTTTCCCATCCTGAAGATGACCATGTGAAACAATGCCAGTGCCTGTCCCCCGATGTAAGCTTCTGATTCATGATAGATCCGCAGAATTGTCACATCATGCAGTACAAGGGCAGGCTGGTGACGAAATTCTAGGTGGCCGAGAACGTACATGTATCTGAGCTGGAGCACGCTATCAAATGATGGTTGTATTTGTCGTGATTCCACAATGGATGCCCAACAGATCTGAGTTTGAATCATTGAAACTTTTAGAAACGCGACGCCTAAGGCCCAGTTCTCTACACCTTTCACTGCCGGATCGCTCCTCACGCATGGTCATGGCCTTCGTGGTCCCCATCGTCGTCCTCCCAGTCCGGGAATCCGTCGTCGAACAGGTCCTGCAGCTTGTCCCTCTTCTTCTCGTCATCCCACCGCTTGTTCCGCATTACCTTCTGCCACCTCGCCCACTCCGCTTCGTCGAGCAGGCAGGCGTCTAGCGCGGCTTCCAGACCCTTGATGTCGAGGTTCTCGCCGATGAAGACGAGCTCCTGTCGGCGATCGCCCCACTCGCCGCCCTTCTTTATGTCGTGCGTGACGAGCGCGTCGACCTCCGGGTCGCCCGTGAGGTAGTCCTCGGGCGGCAGGGTGCAGAACCAGGGGCGGCCACCGGTCATGGTCAGCATCGCCCCGGCCTGGGACCAGTCGCCCGCCCGGTGCGGCCGCGTCGCGAGGAAGAATTCGCCCTTGGAGCGGAAGAGGCGGTTGAAGAGGGGGTGGGCGGTCTTGTTGGCGAGGATAACGTCATTCGCTGGGGGCTCGAGGGGATCTTCCATGTCATCGTCCTCGTCGGCATCGTCGTCCTCTTCCTCTTCTTCGTCGTCTTCCCATTCTTCATCCTCCTTTTCGGAGCCTTCAGCCTCGTCCTCGTCCTCGTCCTCGTCCATGGCATCCCCATCGTCTTCGGGGGCTTCCATTTGTAGAATGAACTTGTCGTATAGAAGAGACCATAAGCGACGGGGGTGAAAAGGTCTTGTTCTTGTGTAGACAAAGTTGCGGACATTGTATTCTTCGGTCTCTGGCTTGGGAGTAATGGCCTTGCGACCGTTGACCTGTAAACCGGATTGTCAGTCAATTGCTTTCCCCAGCAGACCTGCAAGATGGACAAACTCACCTCGCGCACTGTCATGGCGTGAAGGTCCTGCAGCCAGCCAACGCCGGACTGGGCGACCTTAAGGTCAAAAGTGTTGGTGTTTACAATCTCCTTCACGTCAATCTTACTGTAATTGGCTTCGAGAACCTTGGCCCGCGGGTTGAGCTTCTTGATGAGGTCGAGGACACGAGCGCGGTCTGCATTCGAGACCTGCTTTAAGTTAGTATGTCGACGTTGTGTACATTGGAGGTGGTGTCTCCTACCATGTCAACCTTGTTCAGAACAATGACGTCTGCAAACTCGATCTGGTCGACCATCAGGTCCGAAACCGTCCGTTCATCTTCCGGTACGACGTCGTCTCGCCGTGAGGACAGGAGGTCGCTTGTGTGGAAGTCGTTAAAGATTGTGAAGGCGTCAATCACGGTGACGGTGGTATCGAGGCGGGCGAACTTGTCGACACCGCCAGCGTCGGCTCTGGTAGAAAGAGAACGTTAGCAAGGCCCTTCAACACAGTATTGTCAGCACTTGTAACCCACAATCTCTTGAGCAACTTCAAAGTGTCCTTGTCGAGACCCTCAGGACCCTCGCCCAAGGCGGCCATCTGCTCGGCCAGCCTGGCGTCGAAAGTTTCCGCGACCTGTTCGGGCTCGCTGATACCACTGCTCTCGATTATGACATAGTCAAACTCGTGAAGCTCGGATAGATTGACGAGCTCCTCCAGCAAATCACCGCGGAGTGTGCAGCAGATGCAGCCATTCTGTAGAGCTATGACCTTCTCCTCCGTCTTTGTGAGTCGGTGGCTCTTCTTGATGAGGGATGCGTCCACGTTGACACTGAAAGAGACTCGGACGTCAGTATTGGTCATACGCAGAAGGATGAGAGAATGGCCTTACGCTCCGATGTCGTTGACAATAACGGCTATCCTAAGACCGTGGTCGCTCTTGAGTATATGCTGCAACAGTGTCGTCTTCCCACTTCCCTATGTCGCATCATCAGTCAGCCTAATGATTCGTTCATGTCAATCACAAGATGTCACCTTACCAGGAACCCGGAAAGGAGAGTTACAGGAAGCGGCTTGGTCTGGCCAGGCTTCGTAACGTCAACGCCGGAGTCACTGCGGACAAGTTTGGGGGCTTCATCGTGTGATTTGGGGTTCGTAGTGGTCGGAACAGCGACACCGCCCGACTTGACTTTGACCGCAGATCCTGTAAGTTTTCTGCCCATCTTGTTCTTGACTCGGGTAATAATTCACTTCCAAACTGAGACTTGATAGTATGAGGGCAAGGTCGTGCAACTCCAATCTCACTGGAATTGCGTATTTATACAATGTCTACATCGGGCAGCCTTCGTGTCTAATGCAACGCCATCAAGGTGTTCAGGAAAGCTGGCAATCACCCCAGCCTTTGCAGCATCTCATGGGTGGTGATGTCGCACGACGGGCCATCCGGGTTCTGACGATGCCCCCGGCGATACAATACGGGATTGGCTGGCTGAAGACCGGGGCTGTCATCACCATCGGCCGCCGTTTGATTGGCCAAGATGAGCTCCAGACGGGCCCCGGACACCAAGAAACGCCTCGCCAGATCAGGGAATAGGCTTTCTCGCGACATGGGAAAAGGGTCCAACGTTGAGAGAGCCCTTGAGAACCCTGAGGGCCGCCGGGTCCTGATTGTGAAACGGCTTTTTGCTATTCGTTGCTGGTCGCTTGGAGCTTATGACGCAGGAAAGGGATCAGCCATGGCTGAAAGATTGATGGGTACGGTCCTTGACCCGGCTATTTTTCCCAACCGAGGATACTGGATTGTCTTTTCTTATATTAGGTCAAGAGGGGCGCATCTGGCGGTTTCGGTGCTGCTAATATTTCCCTTGGTGACCCATCGGCATAAACGTTCCGGGGGCTTTCTTTGCCCCCACGCTTCAGCGAGTCAAGAGTATTGGTGGCTGGAAGATCAAGCGAATCGATGAATTGTTCTATCAATGTCCAAACCAAGAAAACTAGTTTACAATCCGGATTATCGACGCTAGATCGAGCTAATTCATGGTGTGCCACCAACATATTATAATATTGACACCCCTTACTCTTCTTCCCTCACTATACCATGGGGCCAACAAAGACTCAATTGACGCTTTCTAAGAATCTTTCTAAGAATAGGTTTAAGACACTATTCCGGAGCGTGTCTGAGGAGAACATTATTACGACTTCCATCTTTGTCTTCAGCCACTGCTGAAATTGTCCCTGATATGCTATCAAGCCTCTCATCTTGCATGACCTTCTGCCTCTTCTGGGGTTTGAGACATACGATCCTACCTTGTCGATACTCTTATAATTTGGCCACGGCGATAACTGTCAATGAAACAGGCTGAATGGAATGGAAGCCGGCAGCGAATTGGCTGCATTTTCCAACGTCGATGAGATGGTTGTCGTTGTCTTTTGTACATATTTCACCGCCAACCCTATTTAATTCATTAAGAAGCACGAGACAATCACTGGCTGAGTAAGACGAGAGATAAGAGTCCCGCACCTTTACAGTTTCGGCAGCTTGCATCTACTGCTAAGAGCTGAGGTGGCAGGTACTGAGTGTTAGAAAAGAGAAGTTTCATTGTTCAAGGAATGGAACCCAATGATTACTAATGGGTTTTACATCGCAAGGTACATGATGTGAATAAGAAGATGGCTAGTAGTATTAGAACCAGCTGGCCATCAAGACACGGTGAGATCCATGAGCTCGGATTACTCGGCGCGAGGATGAACAAGACTTCGGGAACGGCTCCGTACCTGCCTTATTTGGAATTATTTCTTCTCTTATGAGTGATGCATACCTCTTTGGTGTTGACTTAGTCATTGATGGACCGCATTGAAACCGCACTGTAGTATTTTGAGGTTATCCAGCGCCGGGCGAAGCCATGGTACGCACCGAGGCGTAGGTTCTCCGTAGCAAATAGATATCGGTCCCAACCTTAGGCGTCAGATGCGGTAGGCGTCGTGGATGAAAAGCCCGCCTCTTTAGAGAGACGAGCCTATTCAATCTGTACTTAAGCGACTGCTTCCTGAATGGAAGACAGTTTGGTGCAGTGAGCAGGCGTGACGAGCTCAAGTTTGCGCAAAGCATAGTGGAAAGTAAGAGGTCCTCGGAATCTATTAATAGGGCAACAAGACGGCTAAGAGATGGTTCCTCAAACGTCTCGAGTGATGTCGGATGTGGCTTTACAGACGCCGTACTGCACAGACGCCACAAAGAGGGAATGCCTTGCTTTCCAGACGGAAACAAGACATGGCGGCAAGCTTGGCCTGCGATACGAGCTGAGGCCCGTTAGCGATTATCTATCCCCTGAGAGCGACTTTTTATCTCGTATCACATCCTCCCTCCCACCCTTGAAATGGAAGGGGGGGGGCATCTGGAAAACCATACACGCGCCACGCCATAGACTGCTCTCACGAGCTAGAGCACACAGCAGATAGGGTTATACGAATGAATGAAGAAAAGGCTTGTATTGTGTGAAGAAGAATCCCACGGGTGGAGGGCCCATATAAAGGGGGCCCTCGAGCTCGTCCATGTGACATGGCACGTGGTGTGGCTGACGGTATCCGCCACACATACATTAGCCTCCTGTGATAACCGCCAATGGTTAACGGTGTGTGCGCATCGAGTTCATACAGTCCTCTGCCAGTGAATCGCAGTGAAGCCCAGGATGGCCTGAGTTGTGAACGTCTGGAGGACGTTGCAGCCGAAAGTTCAAGTCGAGCCGAGTTGCAAAGGCCACGCATCAGGTAAGCCGCGCTGACGAAGGAGAAAGAAGAAAGGAACCTGGGAATATTAATAGACTCTTATTCAAATATTCCCTCCCACACACCCACACACACGCGAAAATAGGACAAGCAAAACGTTACGATCAGGTGAGGGGCTGCAAAAGATACGCGGGAGACGCCCTTGCGGTTCCAGTTTCACAGTCTACCCCGTAGTGGGCGGTGATGGAGCAAAGGATACCCCAGATACGACCCAGATACGGCCCAGCCACGACAGGCCACCCAGCAACACGAGGTTTGTAGGGTCGAGGGTTCGGTCGGTCGGCGGCCCAGCTGTTCGTCTATTTGCCGGCCGGATCGTTGCTTCGGCAAGAGTTGACGTGACCGGTTCCCAAGGAAAGGCGAACCAAAACCCCCCCCTGTGGTGATCATGACTTGACCTTGGCCGAGCCGCTTTGCAACACAAGTGGCAACGATGATGCAGTTGGTCTCCAGCCCAGCCAGCGGCGCCTAGGCACGTGGTCATGCTCTTAGTTGCTTTCATGCGCACTCATGCCGTCTTGATACGTGGCATTAGCAAGCTATTTGGACCAAACCCAACTCGCCTCTGCCGCTGAACATTTCCGAAGTCAATATATTGAGAGCCCGGAAATGAAACCAGGATAAGACGCCTATCGGCACCTCAATTAACCAGAGACCGAAAAATGTTTCCCGTCTCCGACAAGGGCCCCCCCCTCCCAAAACCCGCCCACGCGAGTCTTTGCCCCGTTTACCCCGTTTCCAGTGCACACTAATCATCTCCGGCCTCGACGCGCCGCTGCGGAGTTTTCCCAGAGGCGAAATGACAGAAGCCAGAACCCTGTCGTGCCTCGTGTCAGGCCTCTCTCCCTCTGTCTCACCCGCTGATAAAGAGCAGAGTCGAGGGCTCATGACCGCACGTCGCATTTGGCAAGTTTCAGAGACCGGCGGACCGGCGGGGGCGCCTCCTCTGGGCAAAGGTGCCAAGAAACGCATCAAACACAATCGAGGGGTTTAGTGCGGCACTGCGATTTGATCAGGATAACGGCGGCCGGGGTCCGTCTGAAACACTCCGAATGGGCGCGCCGAGATGGGTTTTCTTCTCTCATCCTCTTTGCACCTCTTTTGGCCCCCATGGCTCCGACCTAGGCCGCGTTTTCCGGTATCTTGAAGTTGATGAAAGAATGGCCATTGTAGGATGACGCCGCCCATGGCTCTGGCGCGCGCTGGATGCAACTGTACCGGTATACTTTCATGTCCTTGAGCCAGCCATACGCCTCTTCGCGTGCATTTGTGTCGCACGAGGAAGAGCCTATTCACCTGCTTGCGAAGTTTGGAAGTCGTCAACAAGTACTATTACATGTCGCACCAAATATACACTCCAACAGCCACCCCTGCTTATGTACCCTCGAGGGGTGTTTGATGTGGCAGGCCTCCCTGGACATGGGTCGACGCACAACCTGTCTGTGTGTTGGGTTAGACCAACGACGTGATGTGTTTGATAACTATCATGGAGCGCCTCCTATCGCCGCAGCGCTGCTGTTTCTCTTCTGGTCCTGCTCCGCTTCCCGTCGAGAAATCGACGCGCGATCCAATTCGTTTCTTTCCGCGTAGGCGCTTGCGTCCTTTTGTTTCTTTTTTCTTGGTCGTTACCTTTTAGACACACAGCTGAGCTGCTTACTTTCCACTTGCTGGTCGACATCCCCCTTTTCATTTCGACGTTTATCACAAAGTTATCAGAGTGGAGCACGGGAAGCAGCAGAGTCACAATGGAGGCCACCACAACTTGGTCAATGTTGAGGTGTGTAAACAGTGACAGCGGCAGGCAAGCGTCGATCGAGTGTGCTGACAACATCTATAATAGGCAACGGAGGAGAAGAGCAGAGCCGAAATTCCCTGGTAGACCACGTCACAACTTGACCCGCAGACAAGAACCAGCAGCACCATCCGAGGAAGAGGGTGAGGAAGCAGACGGTGAACAGGAGGCCGGTGAAGAGGAAGAGGAGGAGGAGGAGGAGGAGGATGAAGAGAAGGAGAAAGATGAAGAGAAAGAGGAGGATGAAGTGGAGAAGGATGATGAAGAAAAAAAAGAAGACAAATCCGAAAGCAGCGAATCCGAAAGCGAGTCAGATTCCGACTCTGAGTCCAGCGCATCTTCAGAAAGCGATTCCGACTCAGCAGTACCTGGCAAAGCAGACTCAAGCGACTCGGATCAAGAAGATTCTCTTCCACCGCCCGCAGCTGAAGGATCGTTGCCAGAACGCCAAACTGACGACAATGCCCTTCCTCCCCCAAGAGGCTTCATCACGCTCGTACCGTCACCTCCTCAGACGACGCCACCCCCGCAACCTCCTCGAGTTACGTCAACACGACCTACTCAATCACCATCTGCCACGACGCCATCAAGCCAATCTCCTCCTGCCAGCCAGGCTCCTTCGCCTTCATCTCCGCCGTCTTCTGCACCTCCGACAATGACAATGCCCGCCGAGACCCCCGGAGCAAACCAACCTCCCCCCGCCGTCGGAAATGCCGCGTCTGGAACCCCTCAATCTAGCCTTATTATGCCGTCCAACTCACAGATGAAGGCGACGGCCACGCCGATCTCCGCCACAGCGTCGGCGGGTACGAACCGCAGTTTCGCCATCGGGATCGCCTTCGGCGTCGTTGGTAAGCCCATTCCCCTCCTCCGAAGGCCCATCCGTCTGACTTGACCTGCAGCCATAATCGCGCTCATCATTGGAGCCGTAGTCTTCTTCCTCAAGCGCCAGAAGAGAAAGAAGAAGGTGAACGCCGTGGCTGCCAACATGAGCCGGAATGCCGGAGGCGGCGGTAACGCCTTCTTCCAGAGCGGGCCGGCCGCCGCCGCCGCCACCGCCGGTCAACCCGCGCGCAACACGCGCGAATGGGAGAAGGCCATCGTCGCCACCTACAGGCAAACTCAGATCGCGAATCGCACGACGAAGGAGATGGAGGAACAGATGATGTCGCAGTACAATGCGGACAGGAGCAGGAATCCCGCGCAACCCGACCGGCCGCCCACGGCGGGCACGGTGGTCACGATCCCGACGTTTCCGGCACCACCCGTCTCCAACTTCAACACCGGCTACGCCGTCACACGCGACGCCAATACTGACAGCTTTTACGACGATAAGTCCATCCACGAGCCCGCCATGCCCGAGCCCTTGAGGCTTAGCGGATCACCACCACGTCGGCCAGGTTCCATGGCGGCACCGTACCCCGTCTCGGGCTACGACCAGGGCTCTTACCGAGAGTCCATCAACATCGGGTACCAGCCATACAACTCGGGTCCCTTCTATCAGCCGACTCCTGGTCGCTACAGTTCGGGCGTCTCTTATCAACCGCAGCCCGGTGGTCTACCGAGAGCGGAGAGGGGGCCGGACGGGCGCTTCTCCCCAGAGATAGGCTACGCCAGAGGGTATTAGGGTCCTCTGTGCCGACCGGGAGGTAATATTGGAAAATAACGGAGCGCGGGCAAACGCGCAGAGCACACGGTCATTACCGAGACGACACGGCGACTTTCTCGTTGGATCCGGGATACCCCTCGACGCATCCGGCAGACGATCGGATGATGGGTCGTCCGACCCCTAGCTATTGGCGCATTCCAATCAAAATAAGAGACGACAGGTAACGCCTGTCGCTCGTCCGACCTATCAGGACACTTTCCTTTCTTTTGAATACCCAGCGAGCAGGTCGTCGTCTTAGGAATCAGTGTTTTATATATCTATACATACTTTGCAATAATATTACGAGATACGATGATCAACCAAGACGGCGGCGTATCTGATCCCGTTGCACGAGGAGGCTATTAGCGTGCAGCTCAATGTTTGCCAGGCACGAGAATGAGGAGAAAGAGCCATGGAAACAGATGATGCATGCGGGAAAAGCAACTATTGACGCAATATTTGCCTATTTCCCGTCCGCCAGCATGTTTCCGGCGTGAGGGGGCGGAATTGCAGTTGGTCTGAAACGAGCATCGTGCCAGCACCCTGGTCGTCACCAAAATTAGGCTCGTTAAAGCTTCCCCAGGAAATGGTCCGTCCCTCTGTTCTCAGGCACCCGAGGGAAACATACGGAAGGACGAAGCGGGTTCCATGGACTTGCGGGAAAGTCCACGCGTGTCTTGGCACCGTACCCGAGACGAGAGTTAGCTATCGACGGAGTACTTCGTATCATCGGCTCTGATCGTCGACGATGCTGCTAGCGTGTCAGAAGGTCGGCATGGTCGTCAACTCACTGCCGGCAAGTCTTACCCCAACAAAACGTTGACGGGCAAGAAATGGCAAGATAGTGCGAGTTTCCTCAAGCTTGAGATTTCCTGCATCGTCGTCCCGTCTGAAGCATCCTTGATCTGTACAAGGTTCTACTCGCCGGATCCTTACCATCGGAACTTTCCAGCCCTCTTCGGTAGCTTGCATTTTGCCGCTTGATTCTATCGCTAGATTAGAGCAGCTACACTGCGCGTAGCTTTCCGTAGCCTGCCCCCTTGCCTATTGCCATCTGCAGAGCTCAGATGGTAGGAGTCGTTATCCAGCCTCCTCGATATGGGTGTTTCTCATAGTAGTAGTGTTTGAAAACAAAGTTCGGCGTTGACTAAGTACAGTTCTGGGGGCCTTAACTGTAACATTCGGTACAGCTGACGCCCGAAACCCCACAACACCCTCTGTAGCCATTCTTTCAGACACCGTGTCAACCCAAGCTTGACATCTATTGCGTTGAGTACGGCAGCTCAGAGCGATAAGCAACGGCAAGTGTGCCACCAGTTACGTCTGGGCCCTGTCTGAAGGAGAGCCTTGATGACATAGCTGATTGCGGGTAATAACTGTTGCCATATCCCCCTTGACAGATGTAAGTGTCATCATGGCACAGCCAGCCGTTTTGCATTACTTCCTTCGTCTGTGGGGCGCCCTAACCTATCCTTTGTTTTCTCCTCACCCATACTTCTTTATCTGAGCTTTCCATCACAGCTTGAGATTCCCTCGATGGGACGGACATCTTCGTCTCTGTAATTTCACGCAACTGGACTTCCCACACACCCAGTTTGTACCTAGCTCTGTCCGCCATTCCCGAGAACAGGTCAAACGACCATCCATGCTTTGGGCATGTCAAGCCTGCGCTCAACACGATGCCAAAGTCCTCAATGTCAAATGGAGTGCCATGCGACAGGGGATATGAGGAGTGCGGACATTTCTGGCCATCATTTAGTCAGCTTCACGGAGACTGGATGCCGCTCACCGGCCTTTATGTTTATCCTCTACTTACATGATCGACAGCATGGAACTTTCCCTTATATTTAAAGACAAGGACTTGCTCTTTCAGATCTCCCTCAATTTCGGCGTAGCTGAGGGTATCAGGTGCCAAGAGCACCTCGGTGCTCCGTGAACTATCCGACTTGGGAACATGAAAGACCTTACATCCCGGCTTCAGGTCCGTATCACAGAACCGGAGGTCTGAGAGGTTGCCCTCGTCAGTTCCCAGGTCGGGAAATGAGGAGCTGAGGCCGGCGAGAAACCACCCTGCTTCAGACCGAGATCGCGCCCGGAATGGGCTCATTTCTGGCGAATGAAGAGTATGCCACCGGCAAAGATCGGGGCTGCGCTGGTTGTTGTGGAAATAACAGTCACGGCATCGCGGTTCAGGCTAGTCCAAGACCGTCCCGCGCCCTTTCATACTTTTCTAATCATGTGATATGTCACGTGCTAATCTTTATCCTAAACATCGTGATGTGAGAAACCGATCGCTACAGCTCGCACAGAGACAACTATAATTGGACTACTCTTGCACCCAGATGAATAGCTATGAATCAAAGGTTTGATAGCTTGGTTTGGTGTGGCCGAGCCTCCTGTCGTGTCTTGCCCCTTTGCTTTTACACCGGATCCTCGGAAGTCATAGAGACTAATCAACGAAGGTGGCCAATACGGACGCAGAACAAACACCCACTGGGCCTAGTATGTATATCGAAGAAAGATTCCCTAAGTACAATGGGAAATTTATAACTTACCAAGACCTACTTCTGGTTAGCTGATTTAGTTATTGAAATTCCAGGTCTCATTGGACACATGAATAAAGTTTTGAACAGTGTCGCGAAGCGCAGTTTTAACCAAATGAAACATTCAATTTTCAATGACGCAACACTGTTTGACCTCAACCCACTGCATGCCTGGACTTCGATGTCTTCTTCTTGCTTTGTTACTGTTGGTTAAATCACGTAAGAGGGATATCCTGTAGATTACGTAACAAATCGTGATATAGAATATGGTTGTTGCTTGTTGTATTAGTTACAAAGTGAATCCAGACTTTTAGGTGGTATACTAGTAGTGAGGTAGATACTGCTAAGGGAGGCAGTGTGTTACATAAATATTACGTAACTACCTCCCCTAAAGCATACCTACTATATACTAACACTAGTAACTTTTCTTTTATAGTAAAAGTCACTAGTGCCTTAGCTATCTAGATTACCCTTAAAAGCCTTAAAAACGTAATAAAAATTAAAACTCTAAAAGTATTATACTTCTTATAGTTATATACTATATATTCTTATATCTTTTATTTTTTCTTATAAATAGCGTAAGCTTATACTAACTTATTTAGAGGCGTTTTTTTTTAGCTATAGCTATTAGAGGCGTATTTTTATATTAGTTAGATTTAACTACTACTATTATAGTCTAGTTAGTTATATAACTTATAATTTATTTTTTACTATATACTTATTATAATCTATTATATCTATATAACCTAACCCTTTATATATATCTTAGCTTTATTATTTATAACTAGGCCCTTAAGTGCTTAATTTAGGAATACCTTTATAAATCTATTAGCTAGATTATTAGATCTAGTAATCTATTAGACTTTATAAAGCTTATATTACTTATAAGACTATCTTAGTAATATAATATTAATTATAAGACGCTTCTTTTTTATAGTTCCTAGCTTAACTAGGTATTTATAAAGTAAATATAAGTCTATATATATAATAGTTAGGATTAATAAGATATTAAGCTTCTTTATAATTATTATAATAGTTATAAAGAGGGCGTAAGCTATATTAACGCCTATAACTATCCTATATACTTTAGATATAAGGACGCTTTAGGTAACTTATTTAGACTTTATAGATAAGAAATAAAGGATATTACTATAGAGAAGAAATTTAGCTTAGTTATTTTTAACTTCCTTATTTATAAGGAGGATAATAAATCCTAACTATAAAGTTATATTATAATTATTAGTAAATAATTTATTTATAAATATAAATAGCTTAGCTAATATAAGATTTAAGGGGATAAATTATAAACTATAGTTAAGTAAGCTTATTTACTATTATAGTTAATAATTAAGGTCTTTAATTACCTTATTATCTAGCTCTTTATATTAGGCTATAATAAAAAGATTAAAGTACGCTTTAGGCTAGTAAATAAAGGTAATATATACTTCTTATACCTGTTACTAAATAAAATCTTAGCAGGCTATAGGTAACTTTATGTTAATTAATTATAGTTTTACTTCTTACTTTTTTTAGTAAAGCGTAATAGAAGTGTCTATAGTAGATATAACTATAATAATCCTGCTATTAAAGGTAAGCAGTTAGTTAATAGTAAGGAATAACTTATTTTTTATAGTAAATTTTACTTTAGTTAGTTCTTTATTTTTTTAGTTAGAAAATAAAAAGTCTATTAGGCTAATAGTATTATCTGTTTATATACTAATAAGTATAAAGTATAGATTTTTACTAAATAATAGGAGAAGGTAGGGGTTATATATAGTAAAGACTATCTAGAGATTCTCTTTATAGTAATAGTTATAAGTAGCTTACTAGTATATACCTACCTTAGTAATCCTATATAAAGGCTTAATAACCTTTATAATAGTATTATTAAGGTACTTATAATAGATTTAGGCTAGAAGTTTAGTGTAGATAGTATAGTTAAGGTAGAAAGTAAATTAAACGTAGGCCTATATAATATTATATAGCTATATAACTTTATTATTAATAAAAAAGGAAGGGGCTAGCATAAGGATAAGCTGCTAGCTAGCTTACTAGATAGTAAGTAACTAAGTTAGAATAGCCTCCTTACTATTATTAGTATAGCCTTAAATAATAAGGTGTAATTTCTTATAAGGCTTCTTATTAGTGCTTTTTACCTTATTTATAATTTATAATTTAAAAATTTACTTATATAGCTAAAGTTAGTTAATTATAGTAAATTTAAAGACGCCTTATATAATAAGGCTATTAATTTTAGTAGCTACTAATTACTTAAATAGCTTACTAGGTGCTATAATAACGCCTTTTTTATATAGTTAGATTATAAGGGTTTAATAAGCTTCTTTTTTTACTAAGAGGAAGGTAGTATAAGGTATATTAGTCTCTTATAGTAAAGTGTATCTTATAGGGATTTTCCTAGCTTGTTAAGGTTATATAATAGTAAGATTATTAGTATGTAGCTACTGCCTTAAACTAGTTATAATAATAATAGTATCTTTAGTAGGCTTATTACTATAACTATTATTATTATTTAGGATAGATTAAGGGCGTTACTTAGCTAAGCCTCTTTTTTTATTATCTACTATATAGTATAGCTTAACTAATATAGATTAAAAAACGTAAAGGCTATTAATATTAATAGTAAAGTCTTTACCTTAGGTAGTAAGTAATTTATATAGGCTAAACTAACCTTCTTTTTTATACTAAATATAGACGTTACTGCCTAAAGGTAGATCCTTTATTATAAAGGTATCTAGGCTGTTATAGGTAGTAAAAGCCTTATTAATTTACTATATTATATTATATTTATAAAGATCTTTAGTTACCTTATAGATAGTAGTTATATATTAAATTATCTTAAGTAAAGAGGTAAAGTTAGTAGTTATATAAAAGTAGGCGCTAAATACTAATAAAGTAGGTATAAGGCTATTTAGGCTAGTAGTATTATTAACTACTTTAGTAGCGCTTTAAAGTGCTACTTTATAGTTAATAAATAGGTATTTTTTTTAGATTATTTTATATACTTATTAAAGTATAGCGTAGTATTTTTTAACCTTCCTAACGTTATAATACGCTTTAATAGGGATAATCTTAACTTTAATATCTATTATATAGGCTTTATATAAAAATTTAGTTAAGATAAAGTTCTAGCCTATATTAGTAATAACTTAATCTAGAGGACCTTAGTAAATATTAATTTAGTAGTAATAAAGTGCTTTTTATATAGTTTTTACTAAAATATTATAAAAAAAGTAGGCTATATTAAAGGCAGTAGTAGTATTAATAATATAAAGTATAGGGTTACTATTAAGGTATATAATATTAATAATAACTTTATAATTAAATAAATAGTTATTATATAAGGTAAATTAAAAATAAGAAGGTGCCTTACTATAGATTTAGTAGTAATAGTAGTACTTTATTAAGTGTTTAATTACCTTTATTTTAACCTTATAGCTAGCTTTATAAAAGATTTTATATAGCTAGTAAATTAATAGATAGCTAAACTATTAATAAAGGTAGTATAGCTTAACGTTAGTTAGGTAATAACTTATAAGGCTTTACTTAGGTAGGCTAAGTAGTATCTATAGGTAGCCTTATTTTTATATAACTAGTATTATAAGTTTGCTTTATTAAAGGGTATTTATAAGGTTATTAAATTAAATTAATAGCTAATCTATATTAGCTAAGTAAAGTAAGAAAGGTGTGTTAGTAGGTATTATATAAAAGGTAATATACCTAAGGGGAGTCTTTACTATAATAGTGCCTTATAAAGTAATAGTATTACTATTACTAAACCTAATTTTTACTTTACCTATAGCTATAGTGTTAATAGTTATAGATAGTTAAATTTACTATAGTATAATAGCTTATAAGTAGCCTATAGTTAAGTAACTTACTATACTTATATCTAGTAAAATACCTTAAAAGGTAGCTAATAAGTAATAATTTAGTATAAAGGTACTAAGTAACTTAGTAAAGGTGCTATTAAGGTTAATTTTTATTAATTAGTAATAAATAGCTTAGTTAGTAAGGTTAGTAGTAAGTGCGTTACTATTTACTTTAGCGCTACTAAAGAATATAGTTAAGGTGTAAAATATACTATTATCTTGTTTTTTATTATTACTAATAATAAAGTAGGCCCCTTAGAGATACTACTAAAGATCCTTATTATTATTACTATCTTTATTTTCTCCTTTTTATAGATAAGTGCTTTTATAGTTAGTAAGGAAGGTGTTATATATAGTTAGTAAGGTATCTTTAATATAATAGTTACTTTTAAATTACTAGTACACTTTATGTCTTTTATTAGTAGTATGCTTTATTAACTAGTAGCTAGGCTTATAGTAAATATAGCACTTTTTAGTATTATAGCTACTATTATTATTATTACTATTATAAAAATTAGTGCTACTATAGTTATTACTAAACTATTAATAATAGCCTTAGCCTTAGTAGGTATAGTCTACTTAATATTAATTATTAAGTAATAAAGGTAAGGATTTAGTAAGGTACTAGCTATAATAAAAGCGCCTTATAGTAGTACTAATAAATAACTATAATTAGCTATATACTCCTTCTAATATTATAGCTAAAGCGTATAAGTAAAGGTTATACTTAGGAACCCTAAAGTAGGTATTTAGTAACTAACTTCTTAACACCTTATTATTTTAGTATAATAAGGGGAGAGCCTGTTAGATAAAGGCTAGCTTTAAGATAAGCTCCTTAAGGGCTTAGATCTTAGTTATTATAGGATTATTATATGTAACCTAAGGAAGTGTTATTTCTTACTATTTAGATAGGTAAGTCTATATTTATTCTTATATTTTAAAGTAGTTATAAATATAGTTAACTATCTTATTAAAATCTTAAATACTATTACTATAAATATAGTTAATATAGAACTAAGATACCTTACTTTTTAATATAATAAAAAAGGTAAGACTAAGTTAGTGTTACTTAATTTTAACCTTACTATAGTTATCTTAAAAAATACTTAACTTAAGATTAAGAATATTATATAACTTACTACTATACTTAGTTTTATCTATTAGTAGCTTTATAAAATTAGTTAGTTAATAGGGGTGTAGTTAGGAGGAAGGGATAGGTATAAATTTAGATCTATATAGTAGCTAACGTTATAACTTATTATAGCCTTATAATTAAAATCTCTATATAGTGCCCTAAGGTAGGAGGTTAGTAGTAGGCTTATAGTTACTTAATAAGTTAAATAGTGTATCTTACTAAGGATTTACTTTATTTACTATAATAGGCTAACTACCTAATTACTTACTATACTAGCTGTAATAAGATTAATAAGGTTAAGGAGTAAAGTAATAAGTAAGGTAATAAGTAGGGTAAGAGGTTCTTAGATTACGTAATAAGGTATTAATAAATAAAGTGCCTGTATTACCTCTAAGTACTAGGTTTAGATTAGTAAGTGCTTAGTAAATTTTATCTTATTATAAAAGTAAAGTTAGGCCTTCTTACTTCTACTTTAGCTAGTAATAATTTACTATTAATAGATAAGTTAGGGTAAATAAGGTTAGTTATTTTTATAAAGTAATATTAGCTACTATTTATAATAATATTAAAAAAGTAGTAAATAAGGCCTAATTAATTATTAATTTTTCCTTAGGTAAAATATATTAACTAGTAATATTATTAATAAATTTAGGATTCTTTATTTATAAGTTAAAGATAGGCTGTTTATAGTGCGTAAAAGTAATATCTTTTTTAGTCTATATATAGAAATTAGTATTAAGAAGGTTTACTAATTTAGGTGTAATTTTTTTTTTACTAGATTAATAAAGACTTTATTATTAACAAGGTAATTATAAAGTGTTAATAATGCCTTAGTGCTTATAGCGTTAAAGGTGGTAGTAGTCTAATCTATAAAATCTAACTAAAAGGCAGTAAGAAGGTAGCAGCTATAAAGGTTAGCGTCTAACTATATAGTAATTATATATATTATATATAATCTAACTTTATAAGGGTCTAACTTATTAAGATTAAAGTTAATGTAGTTACCTTACGTTATTAGATTAACGTAGTAAATAAAGGCAGGTAGAAAAAGGAGAGGCTATAAGAGGTAAGATAGTAATAATAGAGGATATAAAGGGGAATAGATATTTATTATTTATTAGTTTAACGGCCCTACTGTTACTAGTAGTAGCTCTCTATTTTTCCCCTTTTTGTTTATTATTAATAAGAATTTAGTTAATATAGAGTAAGGGAGTAAGGAGGTAATAATAATAAAGGTTAAATTTATAGAGGATTATTTACTAATAGGCTAGTTAATCCTCTCTACTCCTAGTAAAATAAACCTTACTAATCTGTTTAATAGTAGTAATCTTATAATTTAATTACGTACTAATTAGTGTTAGTTAAATTACATAAGAGGGATATCCTATAGATTACGTAACAAATTGTGATATAGAATATGGTTGTTACTTATTGTATTAGTTATAAAGTGAATCTAGACTTTTAGGTGGTATACTGGTGGTGAGGTGGATACTGCTGAGGGAGGCGGTGTGTTACGTGAATATCACGTAACTACCTCCCCTAAAGCATACCTACCGTATACTAACAGTAACTATATAGCTATATATAGTAAGAAGTGAATCTGGACGAAAGGACAAATCCACTACGTGGGATATAAGTGTTAGATCCTGCCCTATAACGATATCACCTTGCTACGTGACATCTGTCGAAACCATTTAGAGAGTTCAGGAACCCCAATGCTTTCCACGAGGCACTTAGTAAAAGGACGTTAAAGACATAGCTAACGTAGTTAAATTTACTATATTTATAGATCTTTAAGAAAGATATTAGGCGGAGGGAAATCCTTTCCGTGAACGGCCTTCTTTTGCTTCATATGCTAGGCTCATAGCTTCACTTCGCTATCCTGGCGAGCTCCGGCGAGCTTCGGCGAGCTTCGTCGAATCCTGACAGTCGGATTACTGTTTTGCGAATTGTAGGTCCAAGCTTGTCTCGATTTAATAGTGATTAAAATTAGTCCCAAACTATCTGACCTGTCGATCGGCGGAGCCGTGCAGCCACGCATGTCATACCGCAGCAGGACCACATGGCATGGCAGGCACTTATCTGTTGCCGAGACCCTCAAGCTCAACAGATAAGAACTAGTCTACGTCTCTAAAGACCTCATCCGTCGACTAGATCCGCGGTTTCTGGTGATCGAACCGTATGCTACAAACTGAAGGATGCTAGGAAATGTCATCAAAGACGCTGGGAAATCGTCACTCTGGCGGCCAAACTTGCTTTAGGTGAGCAATGGCTTCCTTTTTCGCATATCGCTTTGGTCTCTCAGATCAGTAACGGGCCCCTTCAATGTTTGAACAGTTTGAAGGGTGCCAAAACTGCGTGGCCACTTCGCTGCCATGATACCACGGTCTTGTTTTTTCTCCGAGCAGAGCACATGCGGACTTAACTTCAGCAAATAAAATAACGTTGACTTCATTGCAACATGTAATCAGTATGTAATTTCAATTTTGCGCACATAAGTCTCGTGATCATTAGTTTTCTTCTTTCTACTTTATATGTTCCATGGATAAGTATATGTCCAAGGCAGCTAGCTTTGAAACCAGTCGTGAGTCAGCTGATAGTATTTCCTCGTTGAAAAGAATAGGTGCTGCCATTTAAAAATCAAATATTTCAAGGGTGGAGAGTTCCTGAATTATGAATGTGATAACACGCCATTTACTTTGGGCAATCCAAATTCGTATGAGAATGTACATTGGATGCAGTCTCCTAAGCGATGCGTCCCAGCAGACATATGAATGTATTCTCCCCATCCAAATCCCGTGAGAACTTTTGGCGTCCACATGGTTGCATTCGTGATTTTTTTTCACCAGCTACGCCTCTGAAATGTCTTACGAGCAGGCTCGTGGAGCAAAGTCGCATGATGACATGATAGGAGTTGACAAAGGAACTTCGGTTGCGATGTCTTTACTGTGCAAGGTAACATGCCTGCAGCTTAGAAATCAACAACCCCATAAGCGATGCGACGGTTTGCCATTGAGCCCTACAATTATTGACAGCTTGGCTCCAGACAATTGTGGGTGACGGTCTCCTTTACAGGATGGCAGGGGAAAACAAATGTCCCAAGTTATGTAATATCGCCACACAGCCCAGCTGGCTAAGCTGGTAAACAATACTGTAATGCTCGCTACTGAAATAAGCAGGGGGTGAGTGTTAGGACAGGGGGTATTATACTTCAGCGGATACCATCGTATATCTGACAGTAAGCACTAAGCGTAACGTTATCCATGGACTGATGTGTTTTCCTTGCCGGCAGATAGACACTCGCAATTCAATGTGCAACTAAGCTAGAGTCCCCCTACCAGTAAGTCTAAGGCGGTGGATCGGCGAGGGGAGGATCGGCGAGGCGCCTTCGCGAAGAAACAGTTCGGGAACCAAGCCTTGCACCATGCTGAGCAGCTTTGCCCCATCGAGTATGGGTCTATGGTCTATAGGCTGTGCAAATCTAGGCAGAGATATTACCCTCCTTGCAGGCTACCTGTCCTAGCCACCATATCATCCGTTATACCTTGTTCCTCCGACGAGAACTATATAAGGGAGGGTTCAACACCTTTCTTCCCAATGTTTTTGCTGTCTCACCAGCAGTCTCGGGACAAATTTGGTGTTAGACTCTCCTGCCTTCATTCATAATGGTCAACTTTGCTCTTCCCACCTTGGCCGCTCTGGCCGTGGCCCAACTTACTGGAGCCACCCCAGTGGCAACTCAGTCCGGCACCACAGAGGTGTTTTCATTCTCCAAATGGGTCGACGGCATCATCGCCAACCCCAACGGCGACAACTTGACTCCCGAGGAGGCTGTTGAGGCCTGGCACGCATCTGTCAACGAGACGAGCGCGGCCGCAACCGGGGAAAACCTCATCCAGAAGCGTTACACCTGCAACACCATCCCCAACACGGAGGCCTACGTATGTTCAAGCAAGCCCTTCTTCGGGCAATTCTGTGTTGTGCTAAACCAGTGAAACAGGTTCCCGATGCAGTGGCCTGTATCAACGAACTCGCCCGTAGGGGTGGCCAGGAGTGCAGAGTCGACGCGGTCACTGTCTTCTGCGTCATTGGCCGGGCTCAAATCACCGGAGTCAGGGGCGGCAACACGCCCACGGCCTCGTCTTGGTACGAAGAACCGACAAGTGCATTTGAGATCAAGTTCTGACAACGTGTTTTTAGCAACGACGTCGCCCGTGGTGCCGGCTACGTGATGGACCACTGCACCCGCGCTGATAACACGGTACAGGGTTCGGAATTCGCTTACGGTAACGGCAACCTTTTGGTTTGGATCCGCCGACCCAGTTAAATGCTGCTCAGCATTCGGGTGTCACCACCATGAAGTATCCTGTTTATTTGTCACCCGAGTACTCAGGTAGACTGTTCGATCTTCCCTCTGCTGTCATATTTGGTAGCTGGCGAGGACGAACTAAAGATTTGTTTCATGAAGAGTTGGGCGTCAGTAGAAGAGAATATACATGGAAAATGACAGGGTTCATAAAATCTCCATTACCTGCATACGACTATAAACATTTAGTCCACATTCGGGTTTACTCGTTCTTATTTGGAACAATTATAGTAGATCTACGTGACTTGTCTTACTTGACGTCGAACGGATATTGATGCTAGTCATCTCCGATTCTGCCATATGGTTCCTGCCGAGAGACATATGGACTCTTACCCTGACGAATGCAACTGAACAAATCGAAGTAGCTCATAACGTTACATGTTTATGAGTTGAAAGGCTCCGTACAGATAAGAGTCTGACACTCATTATATCCGTATAGGATTGATAATATAATCCTCTTAACGTAATTCGTCTTTCTCTGCAATATCATTACCCATTTACCTGCAGAGTGACGCTAGGCTTACTTGGGCAGTAACAGGTTGCTTACAGGAAATGGACTAAGGTCTACGATGCCGTTGTCTCATTGGAGGAATAATTCTTGCCAACAACAGAAATACCCTCGTTTACTTCGCCTTCCTGTCCTCGTGTATGTTCTCTCTGTCTATACATTAGCCATGACTTTTTGTTCCTCCAGTGGAACCCCAATCCTGACGACAGGATCCTCATGTCTCGGAACTATTGTCTGTCAGCAAAGCCGATAGTCACCCTATCCTGCACAGTTTGGTACGGGGGTAGGTAGCCAAATCGCCTAATTCCAGCGTTCCTGTGGGCCAACGCCCCGTTGAAAAGGCCCCATACTCGCCGGAACAGGCAGCTCAGCTTTGTTGCAGCCTAGCAAAGACGCACACGGCGAAAAGAAGTAAAGTGGGCGACATGCAGACTATTGTTTCCACAGGCTGCAGGTGGGAGGGTCACTGCATCTGTACTGTCCGCCAAAGTGACATGTGCGTTCTCTGCTCTAAACGAAGTCGCCAAACACGCAATGAGTATAACGTTATATAGGCCTTTTCATGACTTGTTACAAACTAGCAGCCGAGGAGGCCGGCATGGTTACAGTCTGGTAAGGAGACGCAGAAAGAAACATGTGTTGGCGATATGGCAGGAGTCATCTTGGCAGGAGTCACCTTGTGTCTGAGAACTAAACTGCCATGGGGTTTCAAGCCGGAGTGACGAATGCATTTTCTGATTCGAATCCGGATTTAGAGTTATGCATTACGATGGGTGCTGCAGCAAATGACTATTTCGTACAACTTGATTCCACTTCGATGTTAACTGTACCTTCATCAGTCGTTTCCTCTGACCAGGCCTAATCCACAAGCACATCGAGACTTCTCTGTTTCTTGCTAATGGCACTGATTTAGTCAGACTCCCTAGACGTTCACGAAAGCAATGTGAAAGTCAATACTAATACAATGGTGATCTGAAACCGCGGAGACAACCCGGACATCCTCCTCGTATACCTCAATTAGTCCTTACGGTGGGTGTCCAAACCCTTGGCCACACCTTTCCCCAGTTTGATCAAATGTTATTCCCTTCGGTCACTCGCTGGACCCAATTGGTCAATCCCAGACCATTTACCGAGCATTTCGAGCAAGCCATCCAAGCATTAGTACGCCCTCACATTGATCAAAAGCCTCGCTAACCGCATCATCATACCATGGCATGCCACAAGCTCAAGTCCTCTCCCGCGTCCAAGACAGCCAAGCTAGCGCCTAAAAGAAGGCCAAGACTATACCCTGGTCCTTAACAGCAAAGGACGCCATACACTTAACACCAGAATCCCATATTGCAACTAGAACAGCTAAGCTACCAGAGGTAATAACTTGAATTATTAGCTCTACTAGAATGGAGGTTTTTACATAGATAATAGCAATCGTTACACCCCTGGCACGTTTGGTAAGATGAAAGCCGTACGCAAGGTTAGATATAATGTCTACGTGTTCCTAGGCACCTAGAAGATTCTGGCCAAGGACGAAGGGCCCGGAAACGATAGCGGCGTTAAAAGATTAACCAGACGCTGGCCAAAGAACAGGCAGAAGCTAAGTTCCTCCAAAAGGTACTCGGGGAGGCCAAAGCCAGCGAGCGAGCGTTAAACAAGCAAATAGACTAGCCCCCCCCCCCCACTTCACAGGCACTGATGCTTCTGGCACGGTAAAAGAAGTTAAGGTGAGCCTACCACTTGGCAGAGCATACCTGTCAAAGACATGGATGTGCTATTACCACAGTAAAAGATGACACACGAAGATCCCCAGAAGCACTGCGTGACAAAGAGCAACAGGGGAATATTATGATACCCCTGGAGGCTGAAGAGCCTTAGGCTTTTAACAGCACAGAACAATTACATTGTGACCTCCTGGGAGGCTGATAGAAGGACTGGAACTATAAGCGACGACGATGATGATAGGACGGTTGTGACGACGGGACTTGAGTTATCAGTTGGATCCCTGTATTGACACTTTTGAAGTGAGCTACTCCAGCCGCCTTTTGTCCTATACAGGAACGCCCCAGCGTTAATCATCATCATCATCATCAACAACAACAACAACAACAATCAGTCAAACTCCAAGAGAATGGTGAGAGATTCTCGCCCCAGAGGCGAGTTCCCGAGAAGTCCTGCTACATACAGTTGATCCTTGAGTTAAGAGGACGAGGCTACATCAGTATCCTCCACCCTAGACCTGCTGGCTGCCTACTCGATAAGATGGCAGCTCAATCCAAATAACCTTATAAAGGAGGCTGTCACGGAGCATCATCTTGTGACTTTCCGTCGCATGAACCCGAGTCGAGAGCATGGGCGTTAGTAAGCCTAGACCAGCACACACCCAAGAAAGGTCTCGCGACTTATCTGCCGAGGAATCAAACCAGCTGGGAAGCCCTTTCACACCTCAACAAGTCCCGAGATGGACGCGAGCATCCCTTGACGTCAAGCTGGCCATCACTTTATGGATTTTGTAACCAACTGCAACTGGGGTAGTTGCAGCTCAAAATCTCACGCAGTTCTAACAACCAAGGTGTTCTGCATGCAACGCGCTTCATTTGGCCATGTTCAACTAACCACCCTCTGTCATTCTCTTATTCTGTTAACTCCGTGTTCTGTTCTCTCCCCAATTTGGAAACAGTTCTTTGTTGCGTACTTGAATAACAATTCTATTGGTCCTTGATAATGTAGAGAATCTATTCACCCCTTGATCCCCTTTGCTCCCTTTATTCCTAACGTATTTCCTGTGCCCATGCCCCTGTCACTGCATGCTCTCCCAGTGACGCCCAAAGGGCTGAAAACTCATTCCGCGGTTTCCGGCACGAGTCTGGAAGACAAAAACGTGTTTGTACAGTGTCAGCCCCATGCGCCAGATTGACTACGGCAAGGGATATCCACGGCTCGCTGGTGTTACAGGGCCAAGAGGGCTCATTCCGCTTTGCTTTAATCGTCGTTTTCCTCCATCTCACCAGCGGCGGCATCGTCGCCGTCTTCTTCATCAGGCTTGTTCGCCTCCTCGTCTCGGTTCTTAGTGCAACGATTTACGCATGCTCCCATTGCCACGGAGACGCAACACGCGACAACCAACGCTATGACGCTGAAGAGGACGATGAAAAGAACGGCGTAAAAAAAGGCTCCAACGTCAGTGGAACCGTTGGTGAAGGCCCAGCGAACGGTTTCCACGAACTCGTGAAGGACCATGGCGATGGATTGGTGGTTGCGCTGATTTGTTTTTTTTTTCTTGGTCGTGGCTGGAGAAGAAGATGGACTTCTTCTTCTTCTTATTCCTCTTGTGGAAATGAGAATTTTGGTAATAAGAGAAATGGCGAGGATGGGTTGGATGAGTGAGTGAGGTATGGTTTCCGAGATGTCTTGAGTTGAGATGTGGGCGTGCTTTGGCGGTCTCTTAATACATGCCGGTATCTCATCTCCGGAACCTTACAGGTTCCGGAGATGGGTTTACAGTTTGCTGCTGCAATGGTAAACGGGCTGCACTGCCGCTGCTTTGACTCTGGCCGCCTGCTGGATGCGAACGAATGGGCCATGGTGGCTGAATACGTCGGACATAGCCGCTCCCAAGACGTGTGTGAACGCTATACTGACGTGTGGAATCTGGTCACCAGATACCTCTTTGGCATATCATTTGATTCCGGCAGGTCCGACTTGCCAGACATTACGTAGGGCGGCTTGTTATCAGCTGATGTAGCAGAAAGGCTGGCAGAAGATACGCATTTCTCGGTGCGAGAATCGAGAAGAGAATAACCATGCCTAGTTTCTGAATGGCATCGTGTTCTGGGTGAAAAAAAAAAAAAAAAGTCAGGAAATGGAGCTACTGATCAGCCCTCATATGAAAGTTCGGAGCACTCAGGGATGGCCCGCAGACTTCATATTTAGCGGTGCCGTCAAGCCCACACAATCATCAAGTCAATAGCAGCGGCTGGACAACAGTCACCAAAATATTGAGCGAGGAAGAACAAAGCGAGGCGTGGAATCCGATGACGGCCCTGCTACAACAACATGATGGAAAGATTTGAAGGGAAACGGTACTTGTTTCAGACGCCGTTGCCCCGCGCGCCAAAATTGCTCCAGGGCAGTCTTGCGCGATGCTTCGACTCGGAGAACGGCGGACTTGAGAGTTTTGTCTGATCTATTGAATCATTGAATTAATGGCTGGTCCAGCCGACGAGCCAACAGTCGGTTGCCCATCTTCCCCCGATGACGAGGTAGTTATTAATCTCGTACGACCCCCTCTCGTCTAGAGCGATAAGAACGGCCCAGATGGACTACGCATACTGCAGCTTGATATTCACGCCATCCCTCGGCACCAGCGTGAATTGCAGTACTTTCCTCGGCTTCCCCTCCGGCCCCTGCCACTCCATGCTCTTGAACCTCTGCAGCAGCCTCACGATGAGGTACCCGGCCTCGGTGAGGGCGAATTGCTCTGTGCAAAGTCGGTTAGTCAAAGTCAGAACAGCATTACGCAGCCACAAACTGAAGTAGGACAGGAAAGGGTGGGGGAAAGGGGGTTCCAGGGGGAGAGAATAGGAGAAAGAGAAAGAGGAAGAAGAAGAAGAGCAAGAAGAAGAAGAAGAAGAAGAAGAAGGAAAACTCACGTCCGAGACAAATTCGCGGCCCGCCGCTGAACGGGATATAATTCCAGTCCAGCAGCACCCCCTCCCACCGCTCGGGCCGGAACTCGGCGGCCGCCTCCCAGATGTCCTCCCGGCGGTGCAGCAGGTACGGCGAAAAGTTGACCGTCTGCCCCGCACGCACCACGATGGGCTGCTCCCCGTCGGCGCCGCCGCCCCTCGGGAGTACCGTGTCCCGTGTCGCGATACGCATGTTCAGCGGCACGACGTTGTACACGCGCAGCGTCTCGCGAAGGACGAACTGCAGGTACTTGGACGCCTTGAGCGTGCCGAAATCGATGTTGGCCGGGCGGCTGCTGCCGCCGTCGTCCGTGTACTCGCCAAAGTTCTGGATGACCTCGGCGCGGAGCCGCTCGAAGACGGCGGGGTGTTGCGCGAGGAGGAGAAGGGTCCACGACAGGAGCGTGGCCGTTGTGTCGCGGCCGGCGATGAGTAGGCCCAGGACCTGGTCCCGCAGCTCGCCCTCGTCCTGTGTCTGCTCCACCAGATTTTCCAGCAGGCTGTACCCCTTGTCCGCTGCCGCCACGCGAGCCTTTTCCGATCCGAGGGCCATGCGGACGTAGTAGTCGGTGTACCTCCTGATGTAGTCCGCCGCCTTCTGACCCTTGCCGACCGGCGCGAGCCAGTACATGCCCTGCAGGCGTATACGCGTCAAAATCCACATCTGAGCTTCGTAGAAGGCCTCGGTAAAGGTCATGTCCTTGTCGCACTGGTCAGCCGCCATGGCCGTCGCAGCGCTCGTCGTCGACCTTGTACCCGTAGCGGCGGCCGTCTGTGAGTCGATGCTCTCGCCGAGGAGGAAGCCGGTGGAAGTGTCGAGGGTGAAGCGGGAGAGCATGGGCATGATATCTACCGTCACGGCGCCGCTCTCGTAGTGGCCGACCAGCGGGAGGGCCCTGAACAAGGCCTGGACGGCGGCCTCGGTCTTATCGAGGTCGTTGATGTGGTCCCGCGAGAACTGCGGGCGGAACAGCGCGCGCGAGTGCTCCCAGAAGGCGCCGTCGGCGGTGAAGATGCTGTGCCCCAGCAGCGGCTTGAACTGCTGGATGCGCCTCGGGCCCAGGTCGAAGTCCTTGAAGTTATTGGCCAGCACAGCCTTGATGTTGGCCGGGTCGATGGTGTAGACTTCGGTGGGGCCGAATAAGCCCGGTCTGGAGAAGGTGGTCCCGTTGGCGGCATAGCCGGCACCGATGCAATCGTCGAGGATGTCGCCGCCGTTGCGGGCGGTGGAGATGGCGCGCCAGACCACATCGATACCGAACGGCAGTTTCGTCGAGACGTATTTGGGCAGGGTCGCGCCGTGAGCCTTTGCGAAGCGTTCTAGGCGCCGGCGGGCGAGGTAGGACGAGACGATGTAGTACGCTACCAGGGCCGGGAGGGCGTATAATAACGCCGTAGAGGAGAGCAGCGCCATCGTGATACTGTTTTCCGGCTCTCAAGTGGTGGACGACCGACCACGCGAAAGGGGTTCCCATCTTCAGTTGAGGGCGGATTGAGTTTTATATCGCCAACAAACCATCACTCAAAAACAACCACATATCGGGACGGCTGCCAAATGTGGACGCCACGGACCGGGGGAAGGCATGGTCCGAGCTAGTGTACGAAATATCCCCATCCAACGATTCCAACGTGACGATCCGGGTCCCATCAGCCTCCACCCATCAGAACTCCATTTTTGCGCACTTCTCGACGAATCGCTGGGCGTCGGACTCATAAACTCCTGTCATCGGACTCCTAGTTTCGTGGAGCCACCACGCATGCTACCTCGGATGGGTATCTCAGATGTGTGGTTTGTCGGTCTCTCGGATCTCCCTCAGATTAATTGGAATTTGGCGTCGTGATCCTTGTCGGTTTTTCTTTTTTTCCTACGCGTGGCTGTCCGCACAATGGTCATTTGGCAACCCCAGGCCGAAAATTACCCCGGAAAGTCCATCTTTCGTAGGCGAGATAGGGCAGTTGAGTTCATGGCCATCGACCACGAGGCTGGAACGAGTGCTAGCTCGGCCCTGGAGCTCGGAATCGACACGACAATGTTTCCGGCGCCCAGGTTCCGTTGTCCTGTGCACCCATTACCGAGAGCATTAGAGTTGAAGATGAGCAGGGGGACTCGAAGCACGCAACGTTAATGCAACGGGCTCCGCAGACAATGCGTATCATGACTCGACCGACGTCCCGTCTCCACGACGATAGGGCTCATCGGTGAAACGACTAGTGCCCTGTTCGGCGTTGACATGGCATGCCAAGTGTGTACGAGACCTGTTTCTGGGTTCATAAAGGCTCGAAAAGGCTCGGAATGATGTCCACGGTCATGATATTCTCCAGCAACGGTAGCCAAGGCCGAGAATGCCATCGGCACTATAGTCGGGCAGCTGTCGGGCACCATGATGGGGGCCGAAAGCAATCAAAAGAAATGATGAAACAATATGAGAGTTCGTCAATTGAAATGCTTTGTGCTCCGGCAAAGCCAAATACTGTTGTGTCTTGGTCGTAGATGCTCCATATACACCGCAAGGTGGTTGGCTCGTTCGGACCGTCTACCCAAAGTCCGGCGTTCGTGGCCTTACCTGCCCAGGTTGTTTAGCACGCTCCCGACCATGACGGCAGCCTCCCTATCCCAGTTTCCCTCCCCCCTGGTCTTGCCCTTGAGGGCTCTCGGCATCTGGCACCCCTTGACGACGCAGTCCCGCATAGCGTCGACGATGGTCACTCTGCTGTCCCTCAGCGAGCGGCCGGCATGGCCGCCGCGGTTGACAATCTCCTGCACCCGCGGACCCAGGCTGCCGGCCATGGTGCGCCAGAAGTAGCTCGGCAGACTGCCCGTCTCGAGGTGCGCCAGCAGGGGCTGCAGCATGTTGGTCTGCCTCTCCGGGGCGGCGACGAGCAGGTGGGTCGGCAGCTTGGTCGACTCGAGGACCAGCTCGAGGGCGACAACGTTCTGGCACCGCGCCGATATCTCGGCGAAGGTGCGCTCTAGCGTCGAAAACTGGGTGAGGGAGCGCGACAGCGATGCGATGGAGGACTGCAGCGCCGAGCGCAGGTACCCCTCGAGAGCGGCGAGCAGCAGCTGCGGCGCCCAGCGGTCCGTCTTGTGGGCAGGGGCGGGCGCGGGGGACAATAGGAACAGCGTGACCATGGCCGACACGGTGCGGGCCTTGGTCTCCTCGCCCTGGGCAAAGGTGGCCGAGTCAGGGATGGCAAAATCGCGGATAATCTTTTCGGCCGTCTCCCTCGCGGACCGCTCGACGGGAGCGACGACGGCGTCCCGCAGGGTGCGGATAGCGTCGACCCTGGCGAGCCCGTAGCCCTCCTCGCCAGGGGCAGCGTTGTCGAGCATCTCGCGCAGGGAGAGTATGGTGTGGGAGCAGCGCACGAGGGCGCGGTGATCCTCCTTCTTGGCGGCGGCGGCGGCGGCGGCGCTGGGGCTCGAAGCGGCGACCTCGGCGTGCTGGACCTCGAGCTGCCTCCCCAGCTGCAGACAGCGGCCGACGGAGCGGCCCAGCTTCAGGGTCTCCCACAGGCGGGTGGCGACCTGGCGTACCTCCTCGGCCTCGGCATGCTTGTCTATGACCTCCTTCTCGAGCTGCTTATAGCTGTCGTTGAGGCTCTTGATCTGGGCGTCGAGCTCGGAGATGATGCGCTTGCTCGAGGCGGTCTGCTCCTGGGTGTAGGTGAGCAAGGGGGCGGCTTGTTTGGAGGTCAGGGAATCGATATGGGAGTCGATCTCCTGGGTGTCGAAGAGCACGCGGGACAGCGGGGTGGACAAGTCGAGGGGCACGTCGTTTGGGTTATTTGTGGCGAGGACGAGGGTATTTGCGAAGGAGGAGGGGTTGAAGGCTGGGTCGAGGAAGGCCTCGTAGTCGATGTAGGAGGGGTCCTCTTGGTTGCTGGTCGTCATGACGGGCGGCGATGATCCATTGACTGTGAAGAGAGGGCGAATGTTGTGTTGTATGGGGTGATGAGCGTTAGTTTGCTAAGGTTAATTGTGAAGCTCCAGCTCCAGCTCCAGCTCCAGCTCCAGCTGTTCTGTCCCGGCCACGAGGTGTGGGAGGGAGCAAGCAGTACGTACCTCTCTGCAAGGGAGGAGGAGGGGAGGGGGCCCCGATATTACCTTACGTAAGGCGGGATTAACGGAGTTGCTTACCTCAGCAGAGACGAAGATGTGGCTCGACTTGATTGTGGCTGGTGAGTCCCCGTATTTTGTTTCGGCTGAGCCACACGCTTAATTGTTGCGATGAAATGACGCCGTGCGTTTCGCGGGTCTCGAAGCGTCTCTTGTTTTGTTTCTTTAAACAACCCAAGAGAAAATCCAATCGTCTTCTGGGTTTCGGTTCACCCTGATTGACGACGATTTCTCTTCGTCTTCCTCCTCTTTTGTCCCCGCCGGAGCTTCGGCTTCTCCACGCGCTGACCAACACAACCAAAGCACACCCGGCCATTCCGTCTGCATCTCCCTCTTCCTCTCCCCACCGTCCACTGTCATCGAATGATCTGCGCGTAGCGTCCATAATTCTGCCCGGGCGCGCTGACTAGTCGCGGGACTAACGGAACGGGACAAGAAGAACAAGAAGAAGCGAGCGAGCAAGCAAGCAGGCAAGGCAGTCTCCGACTCTCCGCCTTTCCGAGCGTTCCATGACCGGATTGCAAATAACCATAATTTCATCCCCCCTTCCTTAATCACCTCATTTCACACCCTCGCCAGCAATGTCCTAGATTCGCACCCTTCTGCGCCGCGTTCTTCTCTCCTCGAGAGCAACTCAGCCGAAATACCCATTGGACGAACCGCGAACCGTTTCCGGACCCAAGTCCGACCCCAAAGCTCGCCGCATCCCGCCGACCCCAAAGCTCGCCGCATCCCGCCGATCCCCTCCCGGGCGATCCGGCCGACCCGAGACCGAGATCCTGACCTCATCGAACCCCGAACCTCGAACCCGCCGACCTTCTTACTCTCTTACTCTCGCCTCGACCTTAATCTCTTCCTCAACCTCAACCTCACTCGCCCCCCATGGCCCTCCACGCCCGCGCCCTCCTCGGCTTCCCCCCCGGCGCCAACGCCTCCGACACCGTCCTCGCCGGCGTCCACTTCAACCGCACCGTCCTCTCCTTCTGGAACTACACTCTCTACACCAACGGCACCCTCTCCAACGGCTCCAACTGCTACGTCGTCGAGTCTCCCTACACCCCCGTCGGCCTCCTCCCCAACGGCTCCTTCGTCAACTCCACCTGGTGCTACGACCCCATCAACCCCATCGGCCCCCGCGCCGGCGTCGGCGTCGGCTTCGGCGTCGTCTACGGCCTCGCCCTCGTCCTCGTCCTCGCCTGCCTGACCAAGCACGGCAGGTCTCACTTGCCCGTCTCCAAGCGCTTCTACCCCGTCGGCCGCCGCTGGCAATGGTACTACGCCATCCTCGTCTGCGTCGCCGCCTTCATCAGCCTCTTCACCAACATCGACGTCGACCGCTTCTACGTCGTCGGCCTCCCCATTGTCATCAACAGCTTTTTCTGGTACCTCCTCCAGCAGTTCACAATGGCTCTCGTCTGGGAGGCCGTTCGCCACTGGGGCAGCTGGAGCGAGCGCCAGGCCATCGACCCGGACCCCTTCTCCCTGCGCGAGGGCGACCGCAGGAGCAAGGTCGAGTTCTGGGCCCCTTTGTGGTTCTACTTCTGGCTATGGCTGGTACGCTCCCTCACCCCTCCTTTTCTCCGTGTCCTTATATCGCATCTCACAAGGAAAAAAACAAAACTAACAACACCCCCAGAACTTCTTCCTCATCATCCCCCGTAACTGGGGCGAGATCGAAAAGCAGCGCTCCCCAGACCAGACCGCCTCCCGCGCCGCCCCCAACGCCACCGACGCCCGCTTCAAGGCCGCCACCTTCTGCCTCGTCGTCTGCTGGCTCACCATCGTCGCCTCCCTCCGCCACTCCATCAAGCACTATTACCCGCGCAACCGCGGCCTGCTCAACAAGGCCCGCGGCTTCCTGCGCTACGTCCCGCTCCGCTTCCTCCTCATCATCCCGCTCGCCGCCTGCCTCGTCGCCTACCAAGGCATCGTCTCGTGGAACTTCGCCTACTCCGTCCTCAACGCCAAGGCCTCCCTTGCCCCCGTCTACGCCGGCGGCTACGGCCCCGCCCTGCTCATCCTCTACATCCAGATCGCCTACGGCTTCCTCTCCCCCAATGAGGACAAGGAGCTAATCCGCCAGCGCCGCGAGCGCGGCGCCCAGATCGACCGCGAGATGGGCTACGTCCCCAAGCCCGCCTGGTGGAAGCGCGCCAAGAACGACGACCACCTCGTCGGCCGCATGTCCATGCGCGAGCGCATCGCCAGGAACGTCCGCGAGCTCGGCGGCGGCGCCGCCACCAACCGCGGCGTCCACCAAAACATCGATGCCATGGCCGAAGAGCGCGAGCAGCGCGAGCGGGCCGACGACGAGATCGAAATGGGCCCCGTGAGCCGCGGCAACACCACCGCCACCGCCTCCGCCGCACCCGTCCCCGTGCGGCCGGGTTTCGACGCCGCGCAGGGGTCGACCTTCGCCTCGTACAGCGGCAAATCCGACCGCCGCCGGAACGAGCGGGCCATGGCCGCCGCCGCAGACCTGCTCTTCCCCGTCGCCGGTGCGAGTCGGCCCGACCGCACCTCGGAGCTGACGCAGGACGGCCCGCCGCCGTCGTACACCGACGTTCCCGTCACCAGAGGACGCGGCGGGAGAACAGACGGCGTCAACGCGCCTCACGACCCCAGCCAACGCAGCAACAGCACCAGCACGGCCGTCTCCATCACAGGCCAGCAGCCCCAGCAGGTAAAGAGCATGCTGGATATCTGATCTGTGTTTTTTCTTTTTCTTTTTTTATTCTTTCAACATGTGGCCCCCTTCATATACGGGCACGACTCTGTAAAAAAAGCTTACGAGCGATGACCATCAAAGACTACGGAATTGTCTATCATTCAAGGCGTTTTATTAGGAAGGAAGCCTCTTGTCTGGGATGAACGGTATATATACACACACACACATATATATATAACCAGGACAGGGGCGAAATGAGATTCAAAGCATAATAATAGTAAAGACTAGTGCCCGTCACATCTGGGCGTCCGCGCAGTTGTTTCCGTTGCCATGTTACAAGCGAGCTTGTCGCCAGAGAGCCAACGAGGGTTCATAAGCGCTATTCGAACGGGTCGACGACGACCTGCCAATTTGCGGCTACTTTGTCTGCGGGCTGGTGAAAGTATTTGTTTGCAAGCCCCTTGTCCACTATATGACCCTCCCCCCCCCCGCGTGCCGTGAGAGATGATGTATATGACACTCAACCGCTCAGGTGTAGGTCACACACCGTCGCCCATGCTTTCCTCAACCTCCATCTGCGAGCTCATCAGGCCATCCGAATTCATAACCGACCCGGAACCAACTAGAACTTGTGGCTAAGCTCAGCGCTGACCATTCAATACTCACAGCCGTTGTGAAACTCGGGGCGAAAGCGGCGACGTCGTGTACGCCGGGACGCGTAGCTCTGCTTAGCCCGCATCTTGGAGCACAGCTCGTCCAGAGGGAGAGTCCACGAGAAATATGGGTACACAAGATCCACCCGCGTTTGTTCTAGAGTGTTGAGAAGGTGATCTGTCACCTACCCCAGGCTGGCTGACCGTTGATGGACTGGACACGGCAGATTGTGACGATTCGCTCGTCGGTCAACAGCGTTTGCCGGCTGCAGATAGTGCCAGAACTTCACATGACTGTCCGACGGCCCCTCGCCGCCACTCGCAGTGTCCTGGTTGTGAAGGTCCCCGGACAAAAGTCGACACGTGAAGGAACCGGAGCAGCCAGCGCATGTGAAGCTCGAGCCCATGACTCGCCGGGCGCCATCCCATCTATGCAGAGCTGCCATCTGGTGGACGGTCCAAGCAACAAGAAATGTCGTTCGTCCAATAACAGCAGACAGATAGAAAGAGCTTACCAGGCACGGATCTCGGGCTGTTGGCGAGAAAGGGAGATCAAGTCATAAAGTCTACGAAAAGGGGGATGGATGCGGTCAGGCACCGGAAAGGGCCCGGCGCCGGCGGCGCGCGCCTGGTTCCAGGCGGGCAGGAAGGAACAAGCCGTACAGCGAGGCGATCCGGGATCGGGTACTCGCGATGCAGGCAGGCTATTGCATGCCTGAGGAGGCGACTAACAAGACGTCGGTCGTTTCTTGCATGAATACCTAGACAGCACGCAAGTCAGCCCGTCGGTCTCAACCTAGGCCGCAGCCCCCGACCGGGCGACGAGGTCACCAAGACTAGGGCCTGCCGGGCGTTTATGTCTAGCTGTGGACCGGTCTGTCGGCGAGGGAAAGATGACTGCATGCCGCATCAGCAGGAGGTGAGGGGCGTGGAGGGGGTTTCGCCCACTCACGAGCGACGGTTGCCAGCGCCCATGGCATCATCATTGGATTGACATGTGTGTTGGACACGATACACTGACAGCCACCGCAAACGAAACGGCCCCAACGCGCTGGCTGCAGGTCACGACAGGGGGGGAGGGGTGTTCCCACAAGATCCGCAGGTTGCCGAATGAAATAGATGGCTTGTTCCATATTGCAGACTTTAGTGTACGAATAGACCAACGAAAATGCCAGTATGGGACGTCGAGAGAGGCTACTGCTGCAAAGAAAATGGGGATTGGGGCGACCAGACGGTTGCCCTAGCTTATCTTCGGATGCGAGCTCATGCACGCCTAGATGCTGTGCGTCGCACTGGCGACAGCTCGCAGCTACTGGTGAGTGCGCCTGCATGGCGCCGTTCATGCGACTTGCTGTGCTCTCAGTCCAAATCCCCGAGGACGGACCCGTCGAAACAGCGATGACTGCGAAGAACCCCCCGTGTGGGACCGCCAGTTGGCGGCTACCAGTGTGCCAACACAGGAAACCGGGCTCAATCCAAGTCGCGACCCGTGTCTCTCCTCCTCGCTCTCGTCAAGGACTTCATCCTTCGTCGTGGCCACTTGGACGGAGGCTGCGTTGACACCGAGGCCAAGTTCGTCAAAAGAGCGGTGAGACCAGCACTACTCGCGGTGAAAGACACAGGCTCGCGCAGACGGGGCTTAGGCGCAGCTCGTCGACGTGAGGGGCAAAGATGAAGTCCCAGGGATGGGCCCAGCTTTGGATATTCAACTCAAGTCAAATACTGCAGCGCAAAGTATTTGAATCTGCGCAGGGCGGCTGAAGGTTGTCAGCAGCCGGGCCCGTGGGGAACGTCGTTGTCTGTCCTTGTCGTAGCCGCAGACACCTGTGCGACCCTACGGGGGACCGCCTTGGATCAGTACCTTGTTCATAGTCGTAGATGGGGTTGGTTTGTCATTATCCAGTCAGTTAATGATTTGTCCGTCCGAGAGACTTGCACATTCGCTAGCGCCCTAAAGTCACAACACAGGCCTTCAAGCAAAGTCCTTGTTGATCCTGGTGGGCTTTTGCTGTTGTATGACGACGCGGGGCAGCTGACCCCTCGACGACAGAGGAGAGTTGGGCCGGCTATTGAACGAACATTTCTCGGACGTCTATCCCCTACCTCTACGTGTAGACATGGTCCAGCATTCGACGTTGGATAGATGCGCGCCCTGTCGGATCGGATTAGATAGCGCTGCGCCCGCACCCATCGGCGAGCAGTGAGGCGGCATTTCCCGTCTTGATGCAAAGGTTGTTGTGTCTGGAGGGCGAATATGTAAAACCCTGTCTTCATGTGTGTTCCGCATCTAAGAGACCGAACTGCCCGCAAAAGCTCTGTATTGGCCAGTCTTGCATCCGTCGCGAGCCTCTTCTGTCTCCGTTCCTGTTCCTTGCATCGTGCAGCTAGCATTCGATGTCGTAGATTCGACCAGCCACCCAGATGTAAGGAATGTCCCGGGTACGGATGTCGAGTTGTCTTGCAAAGGCCAAACTGAAAGTAACATTCCATTATGTTGCCAGCGCCTATCGCGATTGTCGTACAACCCAACCAGGCCGCGGATGATGTGAATCACGATGCGGTATGACCAGAACTCCACGCAAGGCTGACTCAACTGAAAACGACAGAGGCCACCTTGATCGAACCCTTGGTTGGTTATGTCTCACATTCCGTGCTGCAAGATCCAAGTGCGAGACCACCTTGGCGTGTTGATCGGGACCCTTTGAATTTGGGAGTGGAAGTGGCCAGTCCGAGTCTTGGTGTGGCGGAGGGTACCCGCAAACCATTGCCGATAGCGAATGGTCTTTTGGCGGTGAACCATGAGCTAGATCTTGGTCCCATCATGGGCCTGTCCGCCTCGCCAGTTGGGATACCATGGCATACAGCTGTTTCCCTTGTCCTATGAGTCTCTACCCATCAAAGACTTTGCTTTTGACTGTGCTGCTCATGCGCAATCCCTCCCGTACCGTGAGGCCCAATGCATACGATAGTTCATGCGAGCAGGCAGAGCAAACAACAGAGCAGTCAACCATGACACCAGTGGAAATCCGAGCCGTATGACCAGGGTCGTAATCAAAGCGGACATGCAGGAGGCATTGAGTTGAGCGAAGCAGAACACCGAGGCCGCGGCGTGAGCGCAATCGGCATGCTAATTCAAGGCACATCTCGAGTTGAGCGACCTGCATATGGCTGCAGTATCCCGCGCGTGTCCCCCTCCCAAATGACACCCCGACTGGCAGCAAGGACCCTCATCGCTTTGCATGCATTTGGTCATCCTGGCGACTTCTGCTCCGCCTACTCTGAAACGAGCCAAGTAGTTCACTATTCGAGGGATTGTCTGCAGATAAAAAGTAGGTACGGATACAGTAAGCATACAAAGTCCCTTGACCGACTGTCATCTTCCGTTTCCGGCGTCAAGGGTTCCCTCGTCATGTTCCTGTGGGAGGATGACGAATTGGTGGGATGAGGCTAGTCGCCACCAACGAGTGATGGGCGTCCGCGGGCACAAGGAGAAGCCTTGCTTTCTATTGAGGGCTGTGTACGTGTCTCTGTCTCGGTGGCCGCATATGCTAGACGCCTTTTCTTGCGCTCCAAGCACGCATGAAATGCCGCCTTGGAAGGGATCTTGGTGAGTCCTGATGAGCGATCCGATGAGCCTGCGCGCGCCTGGCAAACAGCGGTTAGGGAGCACGCCGCCGGGCGGTCTGTGTACCGGCATTTCCCTTGGCACGCGATTGGCATGGGAAGCAAGGGGCGGTACTCCGATGCATTGTTTCATCCGCTCTTGAGTCTAAATTCTCCGTTTTCTGATGACTGAAGATATGATCCGTTGCTTAGTGGGCCCCTTTGGGCAAGGCCTCGGTCGACCTGGATCAGGTGTGTGTAGGTGTTCAGAATCGCCGACAACGATGCCCATTGTTGATGCGTTGCGTTATAGGCAGACAACCTGCCATGAAGATACTGCCTCAACTACACCAGCGCATACTTCTCGCCATCAATACAGCCATTACCCTCGCTGCATTGCAGCACGGCAACTCTGAACAATGTGCGACGTGACTGCTGGTGGTACCCGGATGGAATATTGTTAGCGCGATGCATACAGCAGCGGATGCCCTTCGATCCCTTGTTACGCCCAAGACAGCTTGGCTGTTTGCGAGAGAAGGACAGGTGTTCGCCGCTGATAATACTGGAATATCTTGTCGAGTAAAGGTGACTTGACCTTGATAAAGGGTGGCCTTTCGAGTGCATTACGCGGGGATGATCGCATACAAGTAGGTAACCTCTGCAGATCAGCCGACGCGGAGCTGGAACAGACGGGCTTTACAGCGATCCTCAACGACGATAGCGTGGGGAAGATGGATGGGTAAAGAACCCCCCCTTCTCTCTAAATTGCTTGGAGTGCGACGA